GCTGTCTGGAACCTGGCTGGTACATTAAAACTCAGGTTAATGCATTGCTCCCCCCCCCGCCCCTTGCAAGACCCCCTTCATTCTTCTCAACCTCCAAGAGAAGAGAACCATGCCCAGGCTTTTTCTCTCTCTGCTGCGCCCATCCCATTTTCTCCACAAAAATAATCACCAACTTGCTAACTATTCTGGAATTCTTGGATGAATTATTGCAGTAAGTCTCCCTTAATCGTCCCCTTTGTTGCCAAGAAAATGACCCATATTAAGAATACTTGATTTATTTTGAATTAGCAATCTGGGCTGGAGCAAAGAGCTTCTTATCAATCCCTTGATGTGGCGTTAAACTCAGATTGAACATGGGGGATTAAAAACAAACAAACAAACTTTGAGGCCGTAGTTAAGCCCAACTCTTCGGTTGGGCTCCCCGATTCCTTAGTGGGTAGGGGAACTCTGTTTTAGTAAAGAGACACAATAAAAAGGACAAATGTTTGGGAATCAGAATCCTTTCAACAGAGGTGACCTGGGAGGAAGGCCAATGTTGAAATGAGGATCATGCCATCGCAACACACTCTGCCTGTTTGTACATGAAACGGGTGGAGTTTGTGTGGCACAACTTGCATGGCATCATTTTGAGAGCATTATCAGATTCTGTAGATGTCTCTGCTCTTCAGGATCAACGGGAAATAAAATGTGTGTCTGTGAAATCAACGGGCGTTGAAAAGCTGCTCCATTTTGGAAAAGTTTAAGCCTGATTAGATGACCGACTATAAAGGGATGTGAAAAAATAAACCTCAGACCAATTACTGTAATTTGGAAGCAGTCATTTAGCAAATGGTGGAAAGCAGGGTTGAAACAACCTTTTGAATGAGCTGGTAGTTGGACTTTACTTGAAGGAAATATCAGCTTTGCCAGTCGGTAGCTACCTTCACCAAACCATCATTCAGCATGCATGGGCAAATTACAGCGGATGGGCATTTGGGAAGGGGGCAGAACAGAGCCAAAGTGAAGACCTTAAATCTGTTAACACTTAGAACAAAGTAACCGCTAATGCCTCGGTAGCCATTTTTGTCTGCCAGGACCTCATGACATTGTCTTCATCTCAACCCCAGTTTCAAGTGGCCCTTTCGTGTTTTCCCTCTTCTTCTAACACAGTTTTTGCCATGGACACAATCTGGAATGCTTCATTGACAAGGTCAGGGGATGAGACCTGCTCAGCTCCTCTTGGCCATTTTAGGCTAAGGAGGGTCCCTTTGGTCACGGGGACCTGCCCTCCATAGCCAGAGCTTGGGCTGCCGGAGAACCTGGAAACCTGGCTTCTGCAGAGACAGAACAAACTCCTTCCAAAACACTTGTCCGGTCTTGCGCTGGCTCCTTATGAGCACAGAGCACTAGAACTACGTCGGAAAACACAGAGCGAGCGTTTAGCGCTCTCTTGAGAGAGAAAGAGTTCTGTGCTGCACAAAAGGTTGATTTAAACCAGGAAATACTGCTGGCTTCTGCCAGCCGTGTTTTTGTGGTTCTGTCCTCATTAGGTACATCGCAGATTTTGCACTGCTTCGGCTGACAAGAAGTTTTGCATGGTTATACCTTTTATTTTATTTTAGGTTTTTTTGTTTTTTTTACTTTGGTTAAGGGGGAGGTTGGCTCCATTTTGCCTGCTGCATTCTGGCTTCAGTGGCACTAGATGCCATGGGGGTGCCAGTTGTTCTTACGCACAGGGCAATCACAATGGCATCTTCTCCAGGGCCATCCAGTGACTAGTTCTGGCTACTGCCAGCCACAAAGTCAGAAATAGATTCCTTAGTGCGGCGGCCAGCCCTGTCACTCCCTTGCAGCACTAGTAGAGGGTGGAGTGTGTCTGTTGATCAATCACGCCCTCCCATCTCACCCCACGTCTCTTATCCATGCCTTTCCTCTCTCAGCCAGACTATTTTTGGACAGGGGTTTAGCACTCTTTCAGAAAAGTGGTAGACCCATGTTCAGAAATAGGCTGTGGGACAAGTCACGTGCCTGGGCACCTCTGCGTCTGTGCCAAGGATGCCATTTCAAGCACATTCCTAAGGCGCTCAACCCTACCCCCCGTCAGGGAGAGCGATTGCTGTTTTCCTGCCAGCAGGTTACTTGTGGCGGGAGGAGCAATGAAGTTTATTTATTTTTATTTGTTTTACAAGATTTGTATGGCTGCCCATCTTAAAACAACTCTGGGTGCTCACATGTTGAGGGGATCCGCCAATTGCTTTCTTTAACATGTCCCCCATTAAATCCATAAGGACCACAACCGTTGCCAGTTTTGTTCCTAGGACTGAGCAGGGATCAGCAACGAGGGCAACACAATTTTTAGCCAGCTCAAGGACTGGAGGACAGTGCTTTAACACAGCTGCCTGGTTTTGCTCCCTGAATTCTCAGCAAGCATGCTATAAGTTCCGACACAGACCTTCCCTATCCCCTTATCACCACCAAAATGAGTGGATGTCTTCCTGCCAGTTGGCTATGTTAGGAGTAGAGAAGCAAACCCAGTTGCTTCTCTTACACACACATAAAAGAAGGGGTGGGGCTCTGATCCCATGGTTCTGGCTGCCATCTTGACTTTTTTGATCCCCTTCCTGCAGACCTCCCTGCATTGGAGAACTGAGGCTGGTGGCTTGACCAAGGTCACCCAGGGCATTCCTGGCTGAGATGAGCATTGAAGAGGCCTGACCTCAAGCTCTGCATATTTATACATGGGTACTACTTCAAACAGGGGTCTCAGATTTGTGGCCCATGGACCCCTTCCCGCCAACCTATCCAGGTCATTCTGGATGTCCTGCAACCATATTTAACAAAGTATAAAAACGGGAGTCTGACCCTTGCAGCTTTTGGCTGCCTGACCCTCCAAGTCATTTCCATGATCTGCAAGCCTTCTAAATAAAGAATACCGTACACTACTAAACAGGGGTGGCTTGAAAAAGAGGGGCATGCAGAGGAGGTGCTGGCAGAAGAGGCAATGCCAAGGGAGGATTCCTGCCCCCCTGCATAAGCCCAAATGTGACAGGGACATCACGGCAAACCAGGCTTGTTCAGCTCCCTGCTCCTGTTAGCCTTGTCCTGATGCTGTAATGCTTGCTGTGGCTCACACCATTGTTCATGCAATCTCTGATTCACATCAACCCCCTTGCACTGCCCCACAACTCCCAAGCCCATCCCACAGGGTGGAAACAGCTGCAATCAGGAAGTGGGGAGCCACAGGAGAGCAGAGGGACTAGATGAGTGTTTCTTAAGCTTAGCAACTTTAAGATGAGTGGACTTCAACTCCCAGAATTCCCCCACCAGCAAAGGCTGCCTGGGGATTGTT